GGTGGCGCCCATCGGGGGCGGCCGCCACCAGCCGCCCTCCATTATTTGTACCACCAGGGAGCCTCTCTTCTGAGCCAGGCTCCCACTGTGCCAGGCACTGTCCAGACAGACCTAAGAGGGTTGCTGCCCAGGGGGCTCTAGACCTGCTCTGAGCAGGGCCCGGTAACTCAGGCACTTAAAATGCATGAAGCCTCCTGTAGCTGGAGGTGCAGGGGTGGGAAGCTGCTAGAGAAGGCATAGCCAGTGACCACAGGCATGTGCAACTGCACCCTTGTCTAGCTAACAGCAAGCAAGGGTTAGTGTAAAGACCTTTGCTTGCTCCATTCCCAGCATCTATGCTAAACAAACCAACCCTTTCTGGAGGGTGCTTGTTAGAAGGCAGCCCTTAGAAGGGTATTGACTTCTCCCCTGTGCATGTTTTGTTAGACACCCTGGCAAACCTTTACCAGCCCCGCTTGGCATTGGGATCCAGGACTTCTGGGTTCAGGTCATGATTCTGCCTCTGTGGGTCTTGGGCCAAGTGACTGAGCCCCTCCCTTAGCTCTTTGTTCATCTATACAGTGGGGGTATAATATTGACTCCTCTCACGGGGGTGAGGGGCGTCTAGCTTGGTGCAGGGGCGGGGAACCTTTTTTGGTTCAGGGGCCACACAAAAGTGAGATGCCAAAAAAAAATCCCCACGTGTTCCCCAACTGAGAAGAAGAAAGACACTCCCCTAGTAGATTTTGTGGTCCCCTCCAGGCACTGGGGTGGGACCAAAAATGAGGGGTTCTTTGTGTGAGAGGGGACTGCCAGGAAGTGGGCTGGAGGTGTAGGGTCTTGATGGGAGGGAGGGTGCAGGAGTGGGTTGGGGATTGAGTGGGGGCTCTGGGTGGGAGGTAGGTGCAGGAATGAAGTGAGGGTGCATGGTCTGGATGGGAGGTAAAGTGCAGGAATGGCCTGGAGGGGGTCAGGACAATGAGGGGACGCACACCTGTCATGGCTCTGTGTCCCCAGGCACCATGCCCTGCTGCTCCTATTAGCTGCAGTTCTGGCTACTCAGAGCGACGTGGAGAAAGGCCTCCAGGCAGTGTGTTGCTGGGCTTCCATTTCCCCAGCTAGGGGGTGGGCGAGTGGCAGCACCCAAAGCTGCTTAGATCTGGCCCCAACTTATCTGACGTCAACCTGTGAGGCTCGGGGCTTCCCCCTCCCACACATGGGAGTTGGCATTGGTGCTCCATCTCTGCAGGGGAGGCCACAGGACTGGGGTGTCAGCATGGGCTCCCCAATGCTGGGGGCAGGGAGTCCTGAGTCTCCAGCCCCTGGGCCATAGAACCCCACCCCTGGCTAAGCGTTTAAGGTGTTTTGAAAGCCTCTGAAAGCTCCCAGATTGCAAGAACAAGTGCTGAGCTTCTCCCCTCTGACTGCCCCCTGCTAGACGTCAGCCCCGGGGGCGCTTTTCTTCTCACCTGTTTGTAACTGGATCCAATCTGTCTGTTGTAAAAGCTTGTGTGTGATGAATAAACTGGCCTTAATTGCAGCAACTCCCCTCTCGCCCCCATAGCCCCCTGCATGCAGGTGATTTGTCCGCTTCACAGCCCACTTCTCCCAGCGTGGGGTGGGAGCGTGTTGCTCTTGCCACTGTGTAAATACTTCCCTGCTGAAGGTGCAGAAAGGAATAAACTGTCTTGAAAGCCTGGGAGGGCTGGAGGGAGGTAATGAGCCCTGCGATCCTGAACTAGCACAGGCTTCTCTGTGCATTGTGAAATCCCGTCTGCCCAAAGAGAGAGCCGACATCTGTGGTGTGGGGCTCTTGGGCTTTATGTCAGTGCTCCTGGGGATCGCTAGTGGTAAGAGACTGTGATAAGGCCATTAAGTAAAATGCTTTCTGGAAGTAAATTAGCCCCAAATAAAGGCACTGAGAGCTGAGCCATAGCTGGAGGGTGAGCAGCGGCCTGATTCCCTGCAGGGACTGTAGAGCTTCTAGGGGTCTGGAGTGTTGTGCGGGGCTAAGCACAGCTCCCCACCACTTGCTGTCAGCTGTGTAAGGGACCTGAGAACACCGGTCCCTGGAGCCTGCAGCAGCCCCTTGGTGTGTAGGCAGCCGAGCCCAAGTTAGGGCAGCCCTCAGACTCCTCTCACCTGTGCTGAACCCGTGGGGGGCCAAGAGTAGTGGATGTGTGGTGGTGATGTGCAGCCCCCTCTGCCCTCTCCATTCTGTGCTGAGCAAAGTTCATGCTCCCTGGAGAATGGGCCCCAAGCATACTTGGGAGATGGAAGTGGCGCAACTTCCCCCAAGCCTCATCCTCTAACTTTGCTGCAGGCCAGTGGACTGGGCCTGGCGCACGCGCTGCTGTGCTCTGCTCTTGCTCTGCCTCCAGCTTGCTCTGGCCTGAGGCCAGTCACTGCGCCTGCTCCTTCCAAGGGCAGAGCAGCACTGCTCCCATGGGAACTCCGACCCTTGGAAAACCAGGCTGCTGACAGCTGTGGCTGCTGTCCCTCAGTCTAGTGGGGATTACAGCACCACGCGCCTGGGGACTGTATCAGTCAGCTTTGGACGGCGGGCTTTGAAGTGCTGGGTTCGTGTTCAGAGCCATCCCGCTAACGCGCTCTCTTCTCCACACTAGATGTCCAGGGCATGGAAAGTAGTGGCTTGCGGTGGAACCCGAGACCAGCTCCTCATGCAAGAGAAAGCTCGGCAGATCTTAGGCGTGTTAAAACAGAGCCACACGTCAAGGACATTGATCTTATCGTGAAGGATGGTTGTTTCTTCTCTGCCTTCTGATTATTTTATTTTTTTTAAGTGGAGAAGGGGAAAAAAGAACACAGAAGAATCCTCTCTGCAAGGCACTGTTTTTTTCCTTCTCTGAACTCCACGTGCCCTGGTAGATCCATATTTTAATAAATCGTGCTAAATACTGGATGATAAGTGAGATGTCAGTTTTACAGTTGTTTGTGGAAAACAATCTGTGAGTTTAGGAAAACACCTGCTATGAAAGAGAACAGTGCCCCCTTGTCGCAGCCTTCTCCAGAGGTACAGGAAACCCTCGCCATCCGGGGAGGATGCGCTCCTGGCACCACTGTGAATGGCGAAATCCACAAAAACGGGGCAGCCGCTCCCAGCCCCCGCAGAGAGCTCCGGACGGCTCCTGAGCTCATGAGGGCTGGAAGCTGCAGGGAACTCATCACGGGCTGGTAACCATATTGAGTTCCTTGCAACTCACACCTACTCTGGTGAGTATGGTGGGCTCCTGACTGCTGCTGCCATCCAGCAGCACCCCTTCCCCAAAGCCATGTTTCTGCCCCAGGCCAGGGGATGGGGTACAATTGGGGGGATAGGAGAGACCCGCAAATAGTGGATCCACAAATCACAAGGTTCTCCAGTAAAAATAGCACCCGTCCCCACCCCCCAGTGCTGCCTGTCACTGCTCTCTGCCCCGGCCCATGATGTGGGCATGAAGCATTTCTCTCACCTAGGCAGGGATGTGGCAGTGCAGAATGAAGACTCAGAGCCATGTGTAAGGTCCTGGTGTATTTTCCCTTGCTCCTCCTGGATGAGCGTTTTTCATCGTCATTGATGATGGTAGGGACACGTTAGCAGGAGAAAGGAGATTGGAGAGAAACGGCCTTCAGGAGGGTTTGATTATAGTTTGGAACTAGCGGCTTTGTTCCCATCTGACGGCAGGAGAGCCATTTGCACCTATGTGTGATGCATATATTATATGGGGGGAGGGGCGGTTCATGACAATACCCTCCTTTTATATATTTTAATAAATCTGCCTGCTGTCGGGTTTTACCGGCCTGCCTAGCATTTTATTCTGACCTGGTCTAACCCTCTGTGGGTCCACACTGTGTGTTGGGTTTGAGTGCTCATGCCTTTCCAGGGTAGGCAGCGTTGCCTAATGGGCATTTAGCCTCTAGCCAGATTGTTTGACTGGCGCTGAGCAGGGGGCTAGTTCAGCATTTCTCCTGCTGTGAACAAGTTGAGTTGTCCTGCGTCTGTAGCTAGGGTGAGTGGGAACAAAATAGAAGAAAAGAGACCCGTTAAACTGGAGCAGGATGGGACTGCTGCATATACTGTGGCCTTGCACTTTCTGCATTTGCAGCCCAAACGCTGCAGCACCAACAGGCTGTGCTGGGCGGTGAATGGCTTCTACAGACTCACCAGATACTCACTGGGGCCCTGACTCAGCAAAGCAGATAAGCTCTTGCTTAAGGCTCATTGACTTCTGTGGGACATAACAGCTGAATTGCTCTGCTGAATCGGCACAAGTGATTAAGCTCAGTGGTCTCCCCTGTGGAAGATGAGGTGAGGGCATCACTTGCAGAGAGAGGAATGGGAGGGTAGCCTAGCAGTGAAGATACAGGACCAAGAGGCAGGGAATCTGGCACAGGACCCAAAAGTCTAGTGTGATTGTAAGCAAATTGGTGATCCTCTCTGCCCCAGTTTCTCTAGCTACAGAAAGGGGACAGTCGCTGCCAGCATCCCCGGGATGGAGATGCAACTGTTGAGAACATGCTTTGCCTACAGTAGGTGCAAGAGCTTCTGAAGAAAGTCTCCTACTTTATTCGTGGCTGTACAAAGTACTACAGAGATCTTTGGCAGCCTGGAAAGAAGGATGCATCCCTCAGAGCTGTGTGCGTTTAGTACAAAATTAGCCACAGGCCTGAAAACAGCATCTGCGATGGCAGGAAACAGGGTCATGCTCACACAGGTTGTCAGCCCTCTAGCTGCTGTGAATAGGCTGGTTGCCAGGCTGGGGAGGAGGAAATGGCCACCCATCCACAGACACGCCCAGGCCCCCTCTATGGTATGGCGTGACACAGCGAGGCACGTTACTGGTCTTGAGCATCCAGCATTGGCCACTTGCAGTGAAGGGAGTTCTGCCGCACTCCTGAGCCGGTGCTTTGGATGGTCGCTTTTCTACTGTGTCCTAATGGCATGTACCATGGGGCTGTTCTAACTTTGCTGGGTCGTGTGGGATGCTTGTGTCACAACTTCCGCTGTATCTGCCCTTCAATAAGTGGGAGACTTGAGCATCGGAAACTAACCCAGCCCCATGCAGTTGAAAAGAGGGTGGCAAGGGGGAGTGTGAATTTTCTCTTCAGGCTTGTCTAAATACAAATGTACCACTTAACTATACCAAGTGTAACCCACCCCCCCCCAGAATAGCTGCGGGAAGGGAAATAACTTACACAGCTCCCCAACCTAAATTTTGCCCCAAACTTGAATTGACAGAATCCCTCTAGCACGGATCCAGGTTGGGCTTGTCTAAATCTAAAGGGCTGTATAACAAGCATATAGGCCGGGGTGGGGAACCTTTTTTTGGGCCAGGGGCCGCTGACCCACAGAAAAATTAGTCACGCAATTGAGAAGCAGAGTGAGAAGATCCTGACTGAGGAGAAAGATGCTGCCCACATTCATCTTGCACATCAGAGCCTGGAGATGCCCAGACTAGTAGATTTTGTGTGCTCCAGCCCTGTGGGTGGTGGGCTGGAGCGTCAGAACAGGCTAAGTGGCTTGTCTCCAAAGTGTCCTTAGCAGAAAGGTGACGTGACTCAGAGTTAGATGGTGGCAGGCTGTTCCCGCTGGGACGGGGCTAAAGGATGAGTCCTCCGGGGAGAGGACCCTTTTATGTGGACATTTCTGGACTTGGACTAACAGGGTCTGTTAAAGGTGCTTGATCAGGGCTCAGGTCCCCTCTAGGGTGGGAGCACTAGGCCGAAGACTGTTGTGGGGCAACAGGCGGAGTAGCCGCAATGCCAGGCTAGGCTGCACAGAGATGCTTTGGGATGGTGAGTCACATGGGGGCGTGGGTGGCCCTCAGTTTGGTTGCAAAAGGCCATTTGTGTCTGGTAGGAAGGGAAATCAGCCAATGTGAAACTGCACATGGGGCACACGCAGCGGGGCTCAGAGCCAGCGGACGTACGGCATGTTCTCCAGATGCCTGTCTCCAGTGCTGTGGGATTCCCTAGCTGGGTGACCTGCAAAGCAAAATACTGAATTATTTTCCTTACCCATAATTATCTGAGCCAAGGACCCTCCCCAGCGGGCCCGCCTGCCACTGGCTGGAGTGTAAATTCTGCACTGATCTGGGCACCCATGGTTTGGAGTTGGCCTTCCATTTAAGGGGTTGTGATCCTGAAACATATTAAATATCGATTCTAATCTCATCGATCCTGGGTGTGCTGCCGGGTGCTTATTAAAGAAGATCTAGTGCCAAGCAGCTAGTTAATGACAAAAAGACAATTAGCTTTTAATTGGAAAGCAGAGATGTCTCTGGTGTTTAATACTTGCCTGGCTCCGGCTCCGGCTCCGGCTCCAAGCCCATGGCCATGGAGTCAGATCAATACAAGCCCAGCGTCAGATTTGCAGATGGCTGCTGCAGAAGCCTGTGTCAGTAAATGTGCGAGCGAGGGAAGAGAGCGGGGTCGATCGAGGCAGGTTTGGGGCCCCTGCAAAGTGTTTGCTTGGGTCCCCGGTTAGAAAGGGTGAGAAATGAGAGTCCTGCCTGAGTGGCCGTGTGTATCTGGCAGGTTCAGCCCTATGAATGGGGTGAGGGCTTGTCACGCAGGACGGGTGTGGTGGGGAGAAAGGGGAAAAGTGAATGGAAGCTCCTTGTTTAAACAGGGGAGTGTGGGAGTGTCCCACCAGAGCTCCAGTGAAAGGGCACATCTTGACCCCCTGGTTGTTCGTGCCAGGCTCTGTCCACACAAACCACTCACGCTCCTGGGTACACACAGCTCTGCCAGGAGCGCAGGCGCTGGCCTAGGTGACCTCTTGAAGCCCCTTCCAGTCCTATGATTTTGTGATTGCCATGAAGCCCTGCAGTGTGGGCTGTTAGAGGCTCTCTGGGATGTGATACAGGCCTTCTGTGGCTGCTCTGCACCTTGGGGCAGTTCTAAGAGCCCGTTGCTGCGTGGCCTGGAATCGTGTGTTGCACAGAAAGTGTCTTTGCCATGGGTGCGTTTTGTTTTGCACCATCACACTCTGGAAGGATGTGACACTTCTGCCCGACAGAAGAGTTATTAAACCCAGAGAGGATAAAAGGGCCCTTTCCAAGGAACAGAGACCAGACTTGCCTACACTGGACAGAGACCCCCCCCCCCCCCCCCAAACC